GAACGTGTGGGATTGAGGGGGCATCCTGGGCAAAGGGGACGCAGACTCACGCTCACTGCCTCCCGTTGAGCCTGGGTTCTGGGAGGTGGACCCTGACTGCCATCCCCTGGGGTGGGGCAGGTGCAGGTGTGATGCTGCGAGCCTTGGGGGGACCCAGAGATGAGGGGAGAGGGAGCTGTTCTGGGGAGAGGATGCCTCCACCCGGAGCCAGCTCTGCCCGGCATCTCCGTGTCTGCCCCGTGCAAGCCTGGTGGGCGCGGGGAAACCCCCTGCTTCATCCGCTCGCCCCCCCACCCTGGTGGGGAAAGGCTTTGGTTCTCCCCACCTGGTGGGTGGGGACCCCGGGGTCAGAGCCACGAAGGGCAGGCTGCCTCCCCAGCACCCCGCATGGGAGGGGAAACGCCTGCTCGCCCGTCTATCCATGTGCTGTTCTGGCTGGTGTCAGCCCTGCAGGCCGGGGAGGACGAAGCTCAGCTTCTTGGCTGAGGGCAGAACGAGGAACGCGGGGAAGGGGCGGTTCTGGAACCTTCTGCTCCTCACACGCCGCGTGGGCCCTGGTTACCTCCCACTCCCTCTCACCCGGAAAACAGAGAGGAGGCTGCAGGGCGTCTCATGGACGGTCGAGAGGATGGACCCGTGAGCTCTTCTAAATGTCGGGGGTCCTGAGGCTTCGGTCAGAGCCGCCCCCCTGAGCGTGGCTACAGACACTCCTGGTTTCAGTCCTTCGTGGGGCCGACGCGAGTGGGGTCCAGGCGTCCGGCCCGGGCTCAGCACTGCAGTCCAGCGGTCCAGGGCAGGAGGGTGAGACCAGCCCCGGACCTCGCTCCTGGCTCTGGCGGCTGACTTTGGGGGCCACGTGCGGGACATCGTCTGGGCGGACACCAGTGACTGCCAGCTTCAGTGTTTCCTGGCACCACAGACCCAGGGGTGGGGAGAGGGGGCTTCACACTGTAGACTTGTAGCCAGAAGTTCAAAATCAAGTTGTGGGCAAGCCTTCGTTCCCTTAGGAGCCTCCGCGGGAGGAGCCTCCTGAACCTTCCAGCTCCGAGTGGCTCCAGGTGTCCTGGCCTGGTGGCTGAGTTTCTGCATCTTCAGGCGGTCTCCCTCTCCCCTTGAGACGCTTTCTGGCTCCCGTAAGGACACCAGTGGTCAGACTCCACCCAAATCCCATTCTTGGCTTTATCACATCCACAGAGGAGGCCGTATTCTGAAGTCCCGGTGGACATGAGCTTAGGGAATATGATTCGTGCTCCTGACACTCACCACCAGCTGCGTGGGCTTTCCCGCCCTCCTCCTCCAACTTCTCAGAGGTCAGGGACCTGGCCTCAGCCCAGAAAGCCCGGTCCCGTCTGCCAGACGCCGCGCCCACCCAGGGGTCCGCTCCTGGCTCTCTGCCTGCCTGGACTTCAGATGTTCTAGACCACGCGGGACCCTGGGTGTGCCTGGAGTCGGTGGAGTCGGGGCGATGGGGAGAGTGCCACTCCCACCCACTCCGGTGATCTAGGTGGGAACCGTGCTGGACCACGGGTGACCTCTGGCCGTCAGCATGACCCCTGGGAGGACAGCTGCACTGCGCGGAGTACTGGGGGCCGGGACACCGAGGTCCCAGCACCCCTCCCACCCAGGGCCCCCTCCTCACCCGCAGGATCGTCTGGGCTCTGTCCGCCGTCACAAAACCATGCGCAGGAGGAGTCGCTGCTGTTTGGTCGCTCAGTCGTGTCCGACTCTTTGCGACCCCATGGACTGCCACACGCCAGGCTTCCCTGTCCTTCACCAGCTCCCGGAGTTTGCTCAAACTCACGACCGTCTCATTCTCTGTCTACCCCTTCTCCCCTCCTCCTGATCTTTGCAGCGTCAGAGTCTTTTCTGACTGGAGCTTAAACTACAGAAACGTGTCCTCTCGCCGCTGTGGAGGCTGTAAGGCCAAGATCAGAATGCCGGCAAGGTGGGTCGCCGGGGAGGACTCTTCCTGTTTTGAGGGCACCTCCCTCTCGGGTGTCCTCATGGGGTTGGGGGGGATCCGGTAAGACCTCCAGCCGTCACATCCAAATCGGGGCCCCACTTAACGACCTCAGTGAACCGTAATTATCTCCTAAATGACTTCGCAATGGGCTCAGGGCTTCACCTCTGAATCTGAGGGGTGACAGTTTAATCCACAGCAGGTGGTGAATGCTGAGGTCTGAGACAGCCTTCTGCAGGAACGGGTAGTGGGAGGGGGTTGGTAAAAACCGTAATGACAAGTGGCCTTGTGTGCGGGTCTAGGGGGGTCGGTGCTAGAGAGCCCCAGCCCACCCCACTCACCTCCACGTGTATGTGTTGCTGTCTCCCCTTCCCGGGTCCCAGCCAGCCTCAGGGAGGAGAAGCAGGTCTCCTTTCCTTCCTCTGAATTCCCAGGGAGGGGCCGGCGGTCCTGGCTCACGCCCAGGCTCGCATGCGGGATCAAGAGTGAACCCTTCCAGCCCTTCCATCCAGGGGTCCAGGCTGGCTGTCCTGACCTTGACTCCACTGGCCCCCTGAGGTCACCCCCAAGGCAACTGAGGCTCTGAAGGGTGGTCACTGCAGGGCCTGGGGAAGCGGGCCCTGCGCCCACCCCAGCACCCTCAAGGACAAGGTGCAGTCCCTCCCCACACCACTCCCTGTGTTCGGGCGGGCCCAGGTCCAGGAACCCCTTTGCTGTTCAACCTCCATTTCTGAGCAGCCCGTGGTCACTGCCTCGGGGAGGTGTTCTTGGCTCCCAGTCCCCCAGGGCACTGGATCCCACTTGGCGAAATGGCCCTCCTGCTCTCCCTGAGAAGAGGCGTGGTCCTCTGGACACCTGCGGCCACCAGGAGACGGGCCACCCCCCCACCACCTGTGGTCACCGTGAGGCCTTGTTGCTATGGCAAAGCTAAGAAGGACGAACCCCGGCCTGGCCCCGTGCGTGGGCCCGATGGGCGGCGAGGTCTCCCCCCACCTGCCATCAGTAATTGGGGATAAGTTAATATTTACTAAGCAGACTCCCACAAAGAGGGGCTGGGCATGAGAAGGCAGGGGAGGGGCAAGACCTGAGCCCCTGCCCCTGGCGTTTAACTCCGCGCGCCCCCGCCCCCCACCGCCGGCAGAAACATGATCCCGGGCTAATTGCTGGAGCCGTTTTCTCAGCCGGCTCAGCTCCCAGGGCTGCAGTGCCCTCCTGCACCTCCGATGCAGTTGTACAGATCAAAGGAGCTGGAGGAAGCCTCTTAATACCCCACTTCCCTTTCCCCCCCGCCCCGCCCACCCCAGGACCAGAGCATCACAGCTCAAGGTCCCGGTGGAGAGGGGATTTCTAAGGTATTCGAAAGCATCCCACTCCAGCCACCTCCCCCTTCAGCATCTTATTTCACCCCACGATCCCCGGTGAAGGGAATATCCCTGCCCCTGTCCTCTGATGAGGGGACTGGAGCTCAGAGAGGTTACGTGAGTCACCCAAGGTCACACAGCGGACCACATGCTGGAGCTCTGATTTGAAACCAGATTGCATGAGTGTCCTGGAGCTGCTGAAACAAGGCACCGCAGACTGGGCTGAAAACAACGGGAAGGTGTGCTCCCAGCCTCAGGGGCTGACGTCTGAGACCAGGCTATGGGCGGGGCTGGGCCCCCTCCTCCGAGCTCTGGGTGGACACTTCTTCCTGCTCCACTAGGCTCCGCATCCTCGCCCCTGCCATCCCCGTCTCTGTCGTCACTCGGCCCCCTCCCTGTGTGTGTCTGTATGTCCGAGTCTCCCCCTGCTTATGAGGACACCAGGGCTGGTTGAGGGCCCACTCCACTCCAGAGTCGCCATCTTCATAGCATCAGATTTCCAGATCAGGCCAGCCTCACAGGTACCACAGATACAGCTGGACCAGGCTTCAAACCCCACTTCCCGGGAAAGTCACCCTCTCTTGCTGCGCTTCCTCTCACTCCTAAGGAAGCCGTCCAGTCCCACCTTTGGTCCCTGTGAGGCCATGAAGACGGCGATGATAGTGAGGTGGTGGGGAGGCGAAGTATGTTTCCCCCAGCACCCCCCCACCAGCAGCAGCCTCGAGGCAACCTGGGTGGGCTTCACCAGGTGAGGGTCCTTCCTTTCCCACGTCCCGGCTGTGCGCCAAGGTGGGAAGGGTGGGCAGCATCAGGACACCCTCCCTGGGGCCGCTGCTCGTGCCGTGTGCAAGCTGGGTGGCACCGGACGCTCTGAGCTGCAGTGTCACAGGCCAGGGGTTAAGTGGCTGCCCCGGGGCATACGAGCGCTCAGTGGCAGGTCGGACAGGAGCAGGGGTCAGCTCACCCCAAGCCCAGGACTCTTGCCAAAAGCAGATTTGGCTGAAAGCTGCCCAGTCCGGGAGATAGTTTCAGAAGGCACGAGAAGCCTCTGGTTGGCCGAGGTTCTGTGAGGCGAGTTCTGCAGACAGCAGCCTGGTTTCTGCAGCCCGGGCAGAGCAGGGGCCAAGGCGGGTGCTGCTGGAGGGGGGACTTGGGGACCTAGGAGAGGACACCACGGGGAAGCAACTGTCAGCTCAGCGAGGGGGACGTTTCAACCAGCAGCGGTGTCTGTTCAACTCCACCTCCAACCCCCGTGACCCCGTAGGACCCTGCAGACCCCCCTCGTGCCCCCTCTAGACTCTGACCTCTGGAGGGACCCGCATCTTGGTCCTCAGGGCCTCTCACTGCCTGGTCCCAGGCCCGGCCCTGCGTGGAGTCCAGTCCCCCCACTCTCCAGGCGTGATGGGTATCAGGGCACAGGGTCTCCACGGCCCTGCTCTCCAGGGTCACGAGCTGGCTGTCACCCCTTCTGCAGTCTGTCTGTCTGCCCGTGACTCTCTCTGTGTCCATCTGTCGACGAGCGTCTCTCTTTGCTTCATGCTGGAAAGAACAAGCAAGCAAGTGAACAGGGCCATTCGAAATAGGAGGTAAAGATAAAGAACAGTGGTGGCAACGGGGATGACAGGCTAAAAGGAGAGGTGGTGGGGAGACCCAGCCGGCTGAGCTCCGGCCGGCTGCAGACCCTGCTAGAAAGGGCCCCAGAGGCGGCTGTGAGCCGCCAGCAGCCAAAGGAAAGGAGCCACGAGGAGATCCCGCAGGAGCTGCTCAGCTCTCTGACCCTGACATCCGAGCTGGGGGTGGGGGCACAGAACGGCCCTCCATCGTGGACCTCCGTGGACTTGGGGCAGCCAGCTCAGATGCACCGAGGGGCAGAGCCCCCAGCAGGGGGTCAGAATGCTGTCCCCGCCGTGGTCAGAGGGGGTGCCCCTGTGCCAGGGCATGGACGCCCATGTTCAGGGAGGGAGTGGGCAAAGAATATTACCTGCACCACGAGCTGGCCTGTGGTCCCATGCAAGGCATTCCCGGCCTGAGGCCACACAGGCAGCGGGCAAAGGCCGGTGGATCCCCTCCCAGGCCAGCCAGATCCAGCCCAAGTTCCCCTGGGAAGCTCCTCGGGACAGACCCAGCCCCTACTTCTTGCAGAGCTCCCCCGAGAACGCCCATGCTATGCTGGCATCTCAGTTTATCCTGAGTAACCCTCAGGACAACTCTCGGTCGGGAGCATCAGTCTGACTCTACATGTGAATAAACAAGGCCACCCAATGAGCAGGCCCCAGGCCCCAGCTGGTAACCGAAGGAGCAATGTTCTGGCCCAGCTGCCTCCTGCCACTGAGCTTGGGATGTTCTGACACTGTCCTTTGGCAGAGAAGCTCACTTGAGCATCAAGTCAGCATCAAGGGGAAAAGGGAACAAACGAACCGGCCGGAGATGAAGAGCTGAGATGGGAGGAAACACGGGGAGTCTGGCCCTTCTCCCTGCACCCCCTCTCCTGACTTGCTGGCGCAGTTCAGGACACCCAGCCCCAGCTGGGGGACCCGGGGGTGGGGGGCACTTCACACACCAGGTTTTTGAAGCTGGCAGGAGGGGACCGGAGCTTGTCTTACTGGAGGCCGCCTGCCAGCATCAGGACCGCCTCCTGCCAGCTCCCAGCAGAGAGGAGCGCTCTGCGGAGATGACGGACATCACCTGCTCCAGCGGGCATGTGACATATCCCTGCCTGTCCTGGTGACCGGCGCCACCCTGTCGTCCACTCAGGAGCCCCTCGAAAAATCCCTGCCCCTGGCCCCCACTGTGAGTCCATCCTACACCCTGAGACCCATCGGTCGCCCAGAGCATTGAGCCACTTAGGCTCTGCGGGGAGGAACAGTGGCTGCTCCACCCCCAGCCCCATGCCCCTTCCTCCCAGCTAGAGGGAAAACCCCTCCTCCAAGGACACACAGCCCTTGACCCCAACTCCCACCGTGGCCCACCCTCTGCCTCGTGCCTTGAGCCCCAGACTGTCACCCCGGGCTTGAACCAGACCCCTGCCCCCAGTGACCACGGCCAGCAGACAGCAGGCGGCCACTTCCCTCTTGGCTGTGTTCCAGGGCAGAAGAAGGGGCTGGAGCTCCGTGAGCACCTACTACGGGCCCCCTGAGTGAGATCCAGACGCCGAAGCACTTAAAATGGGCTCACGGGTAAGATTTCACAGTTCTGGCCCCGGGGAAGATTCCTATTCCAGAAATTTTTTTCTTTACATTCACCCAGAAGATAAAACAAATGAACCAGCCAAAGGTGTCACCATCACCACAGTCAAGGCAATAAACATCCCTCACCTCCTGCTTCTTCCTCATGCCCTTTTGTGGTTGATTTGGGGGCTTGTTTTTTGTGATGAGAACAGTTAACAGGAGATGCACTCTCTCAGCAAATGCTGAAGAGGCCAGCACCCTTTTTCACTAGAGGCGCTGTGTGCGGCCCACCTCGCAAGCCCACTCTTCTGGGAACTGAACTCTGCACCCTGGAATGACCCGTCCCCGTCCCCTCCCCAGCCCCGGCATTCTCCACGCTGGGGTCTGCCTCTCTGAGGCCAGCTGTGCTTAGGTCCCGCATGTAGGTGGAATCATGCAGTCTGTCCTTCGGTGACTGCTTTATTCCACTCGACATGATCTCCTCCAGGTCCATCCACGTTGTCACAAACCAGACTTCCCTTTAAAATTCTTTTTCAAGGCAGGCTAATATTCCCTTGCATGTCCATAGCGTATCTTCTCTATTCCTTCTAGACATTTGGGTTGTTCCCGTGCCTTGACTACTGTGAATAATGGTGCTGCGAACGCGGATGGGCAGGTACCTGTTTGAGACGCTGCTTTCAGTTCTTTTGGTTTACACCCAGAAGTGGGATGGCCAGGTCATACTATAGTTTTCATTTTTAAACAAATATTTATTTGCTTGTTTGGCTGCCCCAGTGGTGTGGGATCTAGCTCCCTGACAGGGGTTTGAACTCCGGCCCCTGCACTGGAAGTGTGGAGTCCTGGCCACTGGACACCAGAGAGGCCCTTATTTTTCATTTTTTAAGGAACCTCCGGACACCGTCCACAGCGTCTCCACCATTTTACACCCTCACCAACAGGGCACAGGCCTCCAGCTTAGGTAAGTTACTCCTGCCTCCAGCAAAGGCCTGAGCACAGCTGAAGGGTCTGTCCTGTCTTCAGGGGCAGGACGTGGGGGACTGGGATCTGTGTCTGGAGCCCCTGGGCTCCTCTGCCTTCCCTTCCGTGGACCTGGGGTTGTTGGCCAGCCCTGAACCAAGCTATCTGTGGGGCAGGCTGCCTGTGGGCAGAAGGGCAGGCAGGAGAGGCAGGCGCTGGGGGCTCTCCCCTGCCAGGGACCCCACTCAGGATGGGGGTAGGCACACAGCTGCGATAGCTGTATCACCAGCTATTCTCCTTGCTTCCTTCCCCTGCTCCCCCATCTCTCTCTTTTCCGGGGGTAGTGACACTGTTCCTCCAAGTGCTGTGTGGCTTGGAGTCCAGGGCCCAGGGAGACTCTCTGAAGTGGGGTTTCCTGCTCCCAATTGCTTCCCCGACGACACTGCCACCCACCCACTCCCAGATCAGGAGAAGGCAGTTCAGAGACTCAGCTTGTTGGTAAGAAACTTCCCCAGCCAAGCTCAGGACACGCTGGACACATCCCCCTCCTCGAGGGTCTAGAATAAAGGGCAGAAGCCAGATGGCATCTCAGGGACTTTGGGGCAAGCTTCGGGGTCCTCAGGGAAAGAACTTGTCCTTAACGTCTCTCATCCAGCGACCTTCTCTCTCTTACGCGCGCGCACACACACACACACACACACACAAAGTTGCTGCCTTCAAGACAATGCTTTTAAAGCAGACTCTGTATCAGAGAAATGGTGGCCGGCGTGGGTGCGATTTGACTGAATCGGACAAGATCCCAGCCGCATCCCCTCCCCCGCCCCTGGGTCGGCAGGAGCCCTGGACACCCTGGGAACCAGCAAGCGCCAGCTTTGAAAGGTTAAGGCAGACGCGTCTTGAACGGCGCACCCCCCCACCCCAAGTGTAGCCAAGCCGGCCTCCTCCTTAGAAAGAGGAATTCGATCAAATGTTAATCCTCTCCACATGTAGAATATTCCAGATAGCCCCGAGCTCCGAGTGCCTTTTGAACTTGTGAACAGAAATTGATTCAAGGTGACGAATTTGTAATCAGTTTATGATTGATGGGCCGCGTTTCCAGAGAGGCAGCTCGGTGTCTGCACCCCCCCACCCCCCAACCCCGCCCGGGGAAGCAAATGTGTTTCACTTTATCTCGCCCCATCCCGGGGCCCGGAGGACCGGGAGAAAGAAAATAAAGTCAACTGCAATATTTAACTTGTGTTAGAACAGATGCCACTTCATTAGGGGATCCGTGGGAGGAAGTGCTAAAGCAGAGCTTTGGGCGCTCGCCCTCCCGTCTGGACAGGGGGCAGATCGGATGTTAAACTATTAGTGTGATTAGGTGAATAATGACTTTGGAACTAATTTCGCTGGATTGGAAAGAGAGCAGGACAGGGCAAAAGCAGAAACATCTGCTAGAATATTCTAATTTCAAAGGGTAATTGCGGAAGGCCTGCTCCGGGCCCCCTTCCTTCTCTCCCTTTCTCTTTCTTTCCTTTCTTTTTGTTAATCGAAACTGCCTTGAAGTGACTTTTGAGTTCAGCCCTAGCAAAGTTCAGCTGGAAAGTTCTCAGGGCAGAAGCGCGGGAGACCGCCCAGCAGGCCGGCCCAGGGGCCCGGGAAGCCACTCCGCCGCCAGTCCGCACGTCGAAGCTGCTCCCTGAGCTCTCCAGGGCAGCGGGCGGTGGCCTTGACCTTCTCAGGCCAGGCTTCCTACGGGAATCTGAGGAAAACCTTAAACCGTGACCATCCGTGGCATGAAAGCCTCTGGGGCAGGTTCACAGACCCCTGCGAGGGTATCGTTTCCAGCCATCCTTTCCCTGCGGTCACCTTGACTGCCCTTTCTGTCTGCAGGCAGCGGGTGCCGGGGAAACCAGGGTCCAAACCAAAAGAGCAAAGCCTGGTTTGCAGCATCTGCCGGCGCCCGTGTTGTAAACGCCAAGACACCGACTGGAAGTCAAGGAGCTGACGCCGCTGGGGAGGGGTGGGCATGGCCAGCTCTCGCTGGCCCGAGCCATCGCTGGACGCCAGTGTCCCCCACCACCAGAGCACACTTCCCGGGCCTTCCGGGCCTGAGAAGCGTCCCCTGGCCCTCCAGGGCCAGGCCCTGCTCCCAGGCTGCGTCGGGCCTCTTGAGGCTTGGGCTCCGCTGCCCACAGGGTTCCTGCACCTTTGCCCCCCGCCCGCAGCCACATGCTTCCCCCGCCCGCAGCCACATGCTCCCCCCGCCCGCAGCCACATGCTCCCACTTGCCCAGTCGCCCACAGCTACACCTTCCCCCTACTCCCCTTCTGCCTTTACTTTCATCCTTTCCCCAACCAGCCCTGAATGGATGCTCTGTGCTCCACATCAGGGTGATGGGACAGACCTGGCCCCTGGCCTCACGGGCCTCATGGCAGAGCGGATGGACAGACCTCATTGGGGGATAGCAGGAGGGCCCGAGCTGAGGATCCTTCGGGAAAGGGAGGTTAAGGGGTCTAATCCGATGGTGGGGGCTATGGAAGGCTCCCGAGGGCAAGCAGGTTTGAGCTGAGCCTGGGCAGGAGAGCATGAATGGCAGAGAAGAAGGGAGGGTGGTGCTCCGGGCAGAAGAAAGGCTTGTGCAAAGGTCCTGGGGTGAACTCAGATCATCACTGAAATCAGACCCTTACGGGGCAGGCAGGGGGGCAATGCCAGCAAGGTCGCCTGCTTCAAGGCGCCCTGGGGGAGGGCCCAGCTGGCCTCTGTCCTCAGGACAACAGACTTTCAGGGGCTTAACGAGATGCGGGGCGGTTTTGACTTTTCAAGTTAAAGCTTGTTTTTGCAAAGGTGACACATGCACAGTGAAGAATCCAAAGGGGCAACAGGGATGAGCAAGGTGCCCTCCTTCTGACCGCGGCAGCCGGACCCGGTGCCCCTGGGCCAGCCTCCAGGACAACGCCACCTCCTCCCCGGGCCTGCGTCCAGGTGCACCAGTCACTGCAAACACTCCTGCAGAAACCCACCCCCGGCATCCTCGGCTCGCCGCTCTGCACCTGGCTTTCCTGGGCTCATGTACCGTGTGTGTGTGTGTGTGTGTGTGTGTGTGTGTGTTTCTGTGTGTCTCTGTGACTGGGTGAGTCTCTCTGTGTGTCTGTGCCTGTGTGTGTGTATCTGTGTGTGTGTGTGTACATGTGCCCATGTAATCCTGCTCCAACTTATCTCAGAGGATACAGCCGGTCGGCACTCAGGCTCCATGTTGGAGCACCTTCCCGATCCCCTCTGGCTTCTCCCTGCTGTGGACCAGGTCCAGTGCCAAGCAAGGTGGGTGCAGGGAGGGGCCTCTAGAGATGTTCCCTGGGGACTAACGTCTGAGAAGCACCAAGGTGGATGCCCTTGTGTTCCAGGCAAAGCCAGAAGGCCCTCGGCAGGCTTGTTTCAGCTTCCAGAACGTCAGCAAGTGTTAAATGAACACCTACTATGCCCTGGGTGTGGAGGGGAGACACAAGCAGAAAATGCAGCCTCTAGCCCCCAGCGCGGAGGCTCCCAGAGGAGGGACCTGGTCTGCAGCATGCAAACTGGGAAAGATGGACCCAGGGAAGGTCTCGACGTGTCAGGAGGAGCTGAGGCTGCAGGCCCAGGCCTGGCCCCATGGATGGCCTGGCTCTGGACAAGTCATTGCTCCTCCCCAGCTCCCCGGGACAGCGGCAGGAGACTCTCTGAGACCCTCCAGCTGTGGGAAGGAGACACTGTGAGCATGTGGGGGCCTGAGAAGAGGGAGGTGGGGGACACCCATCCTGCTTGGTGGGCTGAGGGGTCAACTGTGGGGTCTTGGAGGTGAGACACCCCCAGAACACATGGAGCATCCGCACAAGCTGTGAACTCTGACAAGCAAAGCCCTGAGACTACTTGTTTAGTTAACTTTGATTTAATATATTTTTACTAATGTAGGAATTAAAGAGCCTCTTGATGAGGGTAAAAGAGGAGAGTGAAAAAGCTGACTGAAAACTCAACACTCAGAAAACTAAGATCATGGCATCTGGTCCCATCATTCCATGCAAATAGATGGGGAAAAAGTGAAAACAGTGACATGTTTTATGTTCTTGGGCTCCAAAATCACTGCAGACAGTGACTGCAGCCATAAATTAAAAGACGCTAGATCCTTGGAAGAAAAGCTGTGACAAACCTAGACAGTGTATTAAGAGCAGAGACATCATTTTGCCAACAAAGTCTGTATAGTCAAAACTATGGTTTTTCCAGTAGTCATGAATGGATGTGAGAGTTGGACTATAAGGAAGGCTGAGCACCAAAGAATTGATGCTTTTGAACTGTGGTGTTGGAGAAGCCTCTTGAAAGTCCCTTTGACAGCAAGGAGATCCAACCAGTCAATCCTAAAGGAAATAGACCCTGAATATTCATTGGAAGGACTGAGACTGATGTTGAAGCTCCAATGCTTTGGCCACTTGTTGCGAAGAGCCGGCTCATTGGAAAAGACCTTGATTCTGGGAAAGATTGAGGGCAGGAGGAAAAGAGGGTAAGAGAGGTCGAGATGATTGGATGGAATCATCAACTCAATGGGTGTGAGTTTGAGCAAACTCCAGGAGATGGTGAAGGACTGGGAAGCCTGGCATGCTGCAGTCCATGGGTCACAAAGAGTTGGACATAACTGAACAACAATAGTTGAATATAGTTTCCTCTGCAAGGAGTAAGACCTTGTTGCTTATCCCTTCTATATATACTAGCTTCCTGGAGAAGGAAATGGCAACCCATTCCAGTATCCTTGCCTGGAAAATCCCATGGATGGAGGCGCTTGGAGGGTTACACTCCTTGCAGTTGCAAAGAATCAGACACAACTTAGGGACTGAGCACATATGTTAGCCTGAATCTGCTCACCCCAAACTCTCTAAACCCAAGGATATACGCAACCATTTTGGCAAACAATTACCACATGACTCAGCAGATTCCAGAGAAATGAAACATACATCCACCCAGAAATTTGTACACAAATGATGAGAGCAGCATCACTTTAAATAAATAAGTTTTGCAGCAAAAAAGAAAAAAAAAAGGAACAGCATCACTTACCACAGCCAAAAAGGAGAAATCGTCCCAACGCCGTGCACTGATGGAAGGACCTGCAGAGATGGGAATGTCCACACAGGGGCTGCTGCGTGGGCTGCTACGGAAAGAAGTGGGGCTGGATGCTTGCAGCGATGCGGATGAACCTCAGAACACAGCGCTCAGTGAGAGGCCAGTCACAGAAGGCCGCACATTCCACTCATGCCTACGATGTGTCCAGACGGGGAGTCCTCCCGAGACAGTGCGTGGACCAGCCGGTGCTGGCTGGGGCGGGAGGATGGAGGTGAAAGCTAGCAAGGGGCAGGGGCTTCTTCCCAGGGGACGAGAATGCTGTGACGGAGTCGTGACAGCTGTGAATACGCTACACACCCCTGAGGTTCTCTTCAGTCCCATTTCCCAGGTAGGTAAGTGGAGGCTGACGGGTGACGGTGGCTTGCTCAAAGCCACAAGGATGGTGGGGGTGGGGAGGGGGTCACTCCGCAGTGGGAGGAACGTGGGGCTGGATGGGGAGCAGGTTCGTAGGCCAGGGTGGTGAGGGGGTCACGGAGCTGGGCGGTGGGCAGGCAGGTCCTGGAGTGAGGGGTGAGAGGCATGCCGGGCCACCTCCTGCCCCGCCCACAGGCCCTCCTGCCCCGCCCACAGGCCCTTCTGCCCCGCCCACAGGCCGCCTCCTGCCCCGCCCACAGGCCCTCCTGCCCCGCCCACAGGCCACCTCCTGCCCCGCCCACAGGCCGCCTCCTGCCCTGCCCACAGGCCCTCCTGCCCCGCCCACAGGCCGCCTCCTGCCCCGCCCACAGGCCACCTCCTGCCCCGCCCACAGGCCGCCTCCTGCCCTGCCCACAGGCCCTCCTGCCCCGCCCACAGGCCACCTCCTGCCCCGCCCACAGGCCCTCCTGCCCCGCCCACAGGCCCTTCTGCCCTGGGCCCCACCCCGCTTCACAGCTGTGGTCCTGACCGCATCCACAGCCCAGACTCCAGCAGCGAGCCGGGTCTGGTGCTGATGACCAGCACATCCTGGGAAAGTGGACAAACAGTAAACATGGGGGACAGCCAGGTGTCCGCACAGCTCCTCATTCAAGGGGGCTACTGCCGACGATAAAAGGGATGCTGTGAGTAGCTCTGCTGGGATGACTTCAGACGCCAGGACTGTGCCGAGAAACCCAGGGAGTGTGGGTATCCGGGGAATGATAGGAGCACTGATCAGGGTTGCAGGGGTGGAGGCTTGGCTTCGGCAGCCGTGAGGGATTCCTGGAGGAGGAGGCACTTGATCTGGGGAGATAGACGGGGTGTCAGCCATTTCACTCCCCTGAAAAGAGGAAACGGGGAGAGTCTGTGACCCTAGGAAGGGCATCCCTTGCCCTCGCCCCCACGACTCTCAAGCTGGCCATTTGTGCATAACCACTTCCAGCCCCGGGCCCTTAGAGGGACATTTTGCACTCAGACCCGAGTGTGTGGCCTCTGGGAGGAAAGGGCGGGTGTCCAGGAGCGCAGCGCATAAGTGCTCCTCTGCGCCCTCCCCGTACTCGGGGTTGTAGCTGTTTAAGTTGCCATTGATTTTTTAATTGGATTTTAAATGGTTTAGAAAAAAATGTTTCTCTTCCTTCATTTAGAAAGTGTTTGCATTTCAGTGTGGAGGACTGTGGGAGTGGGAGGCAGGGGAGGGAGGGCAGAGAACAGGGGGTGGGGGGGTGTGAATCTGCACCGGCTATGAGCAGAGGTGGTGCCTCCATGCATGAGCGTGTGTGTGTGCACGTGTGTGAGTGAGTATGAGTGAGTCTGCATATGTGTGCATGTCAGTGAGTGTGCATACGTGTGTGCATGCATATGGGTGAGTGTGCACGTGTGCACATGTGTGTGCGCATGCATGTGAGTGTGCACACGTGTGTGCATGCATGTAGGTATGTGAGTGTGCATGTGTGTGCTTGAGTGTGTACATGTGTGTGTGACTATGCATGTGTGCAAGTGTGCACATGAGTGAGTGTGTGCATGTGTGTGCGTGCATACATGTGTGCATGTGCGCAAGTGAGTGTGCATATATGTAGGTGTGTGTGCATAGGTGTGTGTATATGTTTGTAGGCATGTGAGTGTGCATGTGTGTGCGCATATATGTAGGGGTGTGTGCATACATGTGTGCAGGTGTGTGAGTGTGCATAGGTGTGTGTATGCATGCAGGTGTGTGAGCATGCATATATGTATATGTGTATGTAGGCATGTGTGCATACATTTGTGCATGCATGTAAATGCGTGACTGTGCACATGTGTGTGCATGTGTGTAGGTGTGTGCACACATAGGTGTGTGTGTTGGTGTGTTAGTGTTCATGTGTGTGCATGTATGTAGGTGTGTATACATGTGTGCAGGCGTGTTAGTGTGCATACATGTGTGTGTAGGTATGTGAGTATGCATAGGTGTGTATGCATGTAGGTGTGTGCATATGTGTGTGCATGTATGTAAATGTGTGACTACACAAATGTTTGCACACACAGGAGTCTGCATATTGCTTGTGTGTGTGTATTTTTGCACGCATGTCCATGTGCTTGCCCAGTGCACACGCATGTAGAAGCGTGTGCATACATGACTGAGATAGCCCCTGAGCACAGGTACTCCTCCCGCCTCCACAAGAACTGTGTCGTCTCCTCAAGGCCCTTGCCACTGTTGTGTGCGGGTGATGATGACGCTCCATGCCGCCATCCACCCTGCCAGGTGAGGTTGGCGTTATTTCCCATCACTGACTTCACGGAGAAGGAAGCCAGGCCCTGAGAGGGCAGACCGCCTTCCTGAGGTCCCACAGTGGCAGACGGCCCAGGGCCAGGAGCCGCCAGACCTCAGGCGCCAGGGCTCCCCGCACCCCTCGCCCCGGCAGGTGTGGGGGCTTCCCTGAGCCCCGCCCCACCCGTGGCATTCCCGGGCTGCCCCCCATGCCCTGCAGTCCCTTTGAAGTTGGCCCTTGAAATCTGAGGATGCCTGACCCACTTCTCGCTGCATCTCTGTTGCAGGGTCCCAGCGGTGGTCGAGTCGCCTCTGTCTTCAAGGAAGCAACCTGCATCTCCAGGTGCGGGAAGGTTCCTGGGCCCTGGAGGCCAAAATCTGCAAGTGCCTAGCAGCAGTCCCCGGCCCAGTATAGGGGAGCTGGGCTCAGGCCGACCATGGGCCACCCTGCTGCCCCCCACCTGCTGACCGCTCCCCTCTCAGTGCCCCCTCCATCACCCCGCTGACCTGGCTCCTGACCCTGCTCCCCACCCGGCCTGTACCGGGGTTGGCGGTGAGGCAGGTCAGCTCTTGTTTTGGAAGAGCCCTCCGTGGCCCCTCGCTCCGGGGCTCCTCCCCGCATCGGAAACCCCCTCCTCCGAAGCCAGTCCCCCATCGGAACCCCCCCGAAGCCCGCCCCCCATCAGAACTCCCCCCGAAGCCTGCCGGCTCTGGGTCCCCCTCCTGCGTCTCTGCTGTGGCTGCTCTCCCTCCTGCCCTCCACCTGCCTCTGGGGCTGGCAGGTCCTTGGGGCTCCAGGCCCAGCCCCTCCCCACTCATCTCCCCACTCACCTGGGTCTGTCTCAGCCCTCTCAAGACTCCATCTCACTTCTAGAAGGCTCTGTGGGCTCCAGCTCTCTCCTGGGCTCTTCTACCTGGAGGCCCATTGGCCCCGCACCCTCACCAAGGCTAAAACAGAATGCCCCACCTCTCCTCCCGAGCCTCCAGACCTGCCGCTGCCCCCAACCTCCAGACGGCGTCTCCAGCCATCTTGTGCCCTTCCGCTCCCTCCCTGAACCCCTGCCACCGGCATCTAACCGGCCACAGTGAGTCCCGGGGCCCTGTCCACTCTCTGACAACTCTTGGTGCGTCTTGGGTCCTGGTCTCAACCGCCCCTGCCCACAGCAGCCGCCCCCCTCCAGCTCTTCCTGCTTCCTTCAAGCCCCCTGTAATCCATTCTCCAGGCACTCTGGCCACTGTGAAGTTCGTAGTAGACCAACACTCTCCTGACAACTAGAAAAAGCAATTTTTAAAATAATATTTGGAGGTGTCAAAGTGTCCCAGGCGACTACGACTTGAGATGCCAGAGCTCAGATAGACTGAGAGCAGTGAGTCCAGCGCAAGGCAGTTTTCCCTTCGAAAGAAGTGAAAGTGAAGTCGCTCAGTCATGTCCAACTCTTTGTGACCCCATGGACTGTAGCCCACCAGGCTCCTCCATCCATGAGATTTTCCAGGCAAGAGTACCGGAGTGGGTTGCCATTTCCTTCTCCGGAGGCATTTGCCAAATCTTCAAGCTGCTCAAGAGAAAAGAAACCAAGAAGACCAGGGCCGGGTGTCAGCGTCACAGTGTGAAGGAGATAAAATTGGATGTTCTCAGTTCACCAAAGAGCAGGTGTCCCAGACAACACCTCAAGTTTTCGGTGGGGCCCTCGGAGGGACACAGTCTGGGGGTGAGCTGAACCTGAGGGGAAAGCAAGGTTTGGACAGACTGTAACCCAGCTTCTTATCAGCTCATTCCCTGAGCAAGTTACAGTTATTTGCCCCTGCTCAGAGGATGAACTAAACCCTTCTCCAAGGAATAGAGCACCATTCAGAACCTCTACAATTTGCTAGTCATGGTGTTTCTCGTTTAAGGCAAAGTTACCAAGCAAAATGAGAAGTAGGGTCAAGAGAAAAAATAGAGGATAGAAACAGACTCATGGATGACCTGCATGGTAATAGAGTCACAATAAAAATAATTGTGCAAGAAAATCGATGACAAGGAGAATCTTAGCAGAGAAGAGGCATCTGTAAAGTGCAGTTGACGGAGCTCGAGGAACTAAAAAGTCTAGACACTGAAGCTGAGAGCTCAGGTGATGGATCACGGGTGCAGAGGGCAGAGCAGAAGGACGGGCGGACGAACTGCAAGCTGGGAAGAAGAGGCCCTCCAGGCGGAGACTAGAAGGCCAGAGGGTGGAGGTTACAGACCAGAGAGAAGGCCGTATGGGGAAGGATGAAAAGGCCAGACTAGGTCCTGGGCGGGCATCACAGACAGGGAAGGAGACGGAGAACAAGCAAGACAGGAAGGAGTAATGGCTGGGAATCTTCCACAGTGGAAGGAAAATGCCAATCACAGACGTAAGAAGAGTGCAGAGCCCTAAGAAGAATGGATGCATAGGGTATTTGTCTTTCTCTATTGGTTTTGCTTCACTTGGCGTGACCATCTCCAGGTCCATCCATGTTACTGGCATTGTTTCCTTTTTATGGCTGAGTAGTATTCCACTATACATACCACATCGCATTTATCCATTCCTCTGTCCACGGACGCTTAGGTGGCTTCCACGTCTTGGATATCGCCGCTTGACCCCTGCTTCTGCACTGCAGCTTGGCTCCCTGACGCCCTGATGCTCCTCCCTCGGTCACCCCTCTCTGCAGCGTCTGTAGCTCTCTCAGGCACCCCTGTGCTATGCAGCTGGGCCCGAGCCCTTGGACTGGACCTGCCATCCAGCAGGGGCTCCTTGAGTGACCGTCACAGGCTGAGGATGAGCCCGTGAAGGGCGCTGGGAACTCAGAGCCTCAGACACGTGGGCAGCAGTCACCACCCGCAGCGAGGGCTGACCCAGAAGCCCTCCTGAGCCCTCTTCGCTTTCACGCCTTCGCTGGGAGACGTGAGAGCACTGACGCTCCAGGCCCTCTTTCTCCCTGCGTGCCCCCGCCGGTCACTCAGTGCCAGCCACATGCAGTGGCATCGAGAGCAACGCAGGATGCAGAGCTCGCCTCCTCCCGCTATTTCATCTTACAGATGTGGACTCGGTGGCCCATCCCGAGAGGGGCCCTGCTTGCCCAGGGTTACTCCAGGTCCCAACTTGTGACTCAGGAACCTGCCCGACCACCCCAATCCTACCTGTGCAGCCGACGGTCTGGGTATAAGAGCGATGCTGCTCTCAGGGCGGGGGGCACCGGGCAGGTTTCCCAGAAGAGGGGCGGAGCTGGTCACTGGACCAGCACCCCGGGCTCCTGATGTCAGGATGGGGGTTGGGGGCTGTGCTGATGACTCAGGGAGATCACAGGTGGCCTGGGGACAGGTGAGTAACCCCCACCGTCCCCCAAGGCGCACAGGGGAGGATGCCTTCCGCAAACAAGCTGCGGGGTATAAACACACTGGGCCAGGGGTTGGGATCCCTCGGGTGAGCTCAGTCAGCTCACCTGGCGCTGGGGGAGGAGCAGGTCTGCTGGGGCTCCTGTGACACCGTGGCAGACGCCCGCTGTTCACATTCACTGCGGACGCAGCACTGCCGGGGTGGTACCGCCCCCATCTCACAGATGAGGCAACTGAGGCCCAGGGAGGCTACATCTGTGGTTGCACAGCTGGTCTGAGACAGAGCCGGACAGCGAGCCCAGCGATGCCGAACTCCAAGGGCACCCTTTTCTGCAGCATCGGTGAGCTGAGGGCCCAGGGGGCATCCCCAGCCTTGCCCCCCACCCCAGGAGACCAAACGCACTTACCTGCTCCCAGCAAGCCCTCTGTCTGGGTGCCTGGCCGCCACGGGCATCCTGCTTCCCCTCATCTGCTTGGTTCTTAACTCCTGACCATCCTTTAAGACTCAGAGCACATGTCCAGAAGGCTGACCCCAAGCATGGGCCAGGGGCCTCACACGCCCACCGTGCTTCCCCCCAGGACTGGGCAGCAGAGGCTAGCCCGGATCCCTGCCTGTCAGCCCCCCGCACGTGGCTGTGTCCTCCTGGGGACAGGCTCTGTTTAGCCACCCCTGGTCCCCAGCACCCCACCCCCGGCCTGGCTCATAGTAGGTCCTGGAGAACGCCTTTGAAATGACCAAGTCTTCCGAAATTGGATGCTTTTCCACCACTCACAGGTCATCCACTTCTTACCCATTCTCAGGGCATGTACAAGCATGCACACACACACACACACACACACCCGCGCGCGCGCGTGCTAAGCATAGCATCCAGTTATAAACACGATCTTCTAAAAGCAAGAATGAATGGGATTCATTTTGCAGTGAAATCAGCTGGGTTTGTTGAATTGATTTTGTCATTGTTCTGGGTGAGAGAGAGGAGCCTCAAATCTTAGGTTGCTGCCAAGAATACGTTCCTTCTTGCATTTGGGGGAGTCATTTCACAGAGAATGGAAGGGCAGAGCTGTGATGAGGGGACCTGGTCCTCTGAGCACAAGGGTGCAGTTGGGGGGACTGGCCCAGGGCCACACAGCAGGTCAGATGGAGACAGACTGAAAGCTAATAAATAGCATCCTCTCCCTGACATCCACACTTTGGAAAATCTACGTCATTATCGGAATGAAAAAATAAATATAATCTCTTAATTAAGGGAATCTTTCACTGTTAATGTGCATCAATGAGAAAAATTATAGAATATCTTGCAAGTCAAGCCTGAGAAGCTATTATAAGACAGGAAGACAGTGGACAAGCTTTCAAACCTCCCCTTACTCAGACGGTAAAGAATCCGCCTGCAACGTGGGAGACCTGGGTTCGAACCCTGGGTTGGGAAGATCTCCTGGAGAAGGGAGTGGAGACCCAGCCCAGGATTCTGGCCTGGAGAGTCTCATAGGATCGCAACTGAGCCACTAACACTTTCGCTTTGCAACACTGAGAGGAAATGGTTAACCTAGGGGAAACGCTGGGCAGAACGCGCGACACCTAGTGGTCACGCGGAGGAGTGCAGGCCGGAGGCGCGGGAGTGAACCGAGGTCCACGCGGTGGCAGGTGTCCTGGCAGAGGACCCTGAAAATACCGACAGTAGAGACAGCCTTCCCACAGATGGCCGACCTCCTCCCCCTTGATTCCCTCTTCCTGTGTGTGTGTGTGTGTGCGCGCGCGCGCGCGCGTGCAGAGACGGGGGAGGGGAGATGCGGGGAGGGCATCTTGCGCTCAGTCTCACCCCTGGCCCTTCCGCTCGAGCTCATCCTCCTTCACCTCACACATCCCGGAACCTCTCACACAGCGGGAAGAGGATAGACTATCTCCCCACCGGCTTCAGGTCTGGCTCCTCCCTCCCTCCAAGAAGCCTTGTGGCCCTCGACTCCCCGCAGAGTCTCTGAGCCTCAGTCTCCTCCTCCGTGAAATGGGCAAACGGGCCTCCCCGCTGGGTTTTCACGAGACGCAGATGAAGCAGCACCTGGACCGCGCCCGGCAGGGTTGGGGGGGGGTGAGTGGCCCCTCCAGAAAAGGGACCAGGAGGGTCATCCAGTGCGGCTGGCCGTGCGGACCTCCAGGCCGTGTTTCACTGGATCTTTCGGTGGGTGGAGATTTCAAAACTGCTACCATATCTGATACACCCGTCTTGGTTCCTTAACATCCCGTGCCCTGACCATGGTCAGCTGCCCTTCTCCATCACCTCCAGCAGCTCCTCTCCACCACCCCTCTTCCCCATCACCCCCCTCTGCCATCACCTCCTCTTCTCCATTTCCGCTGCAAGCTCGTTCCCTTCTGCCCACTGCAGCTGCAACTCCTCCCGGCTCTGTCCCCAGCTGTCTGACTGTCTCCCCTGTGCCCTGGGTCATGGAATCTGTCCTCATCCACGACTCAGCCACTGCCTGTGTTGGCGGCTCCAAACCTTTGTCTCTAGTCCAGGCCTGTCGTTGGGACCCCCGTTGCCTATACACCATAGATTGCACGTGTTCTGTGGGTCTCCTGGGGGCTCTCACTCACTCCCCACCCAAGTCCCCTCCCTACCTGCTAACCCACCTCGCAAGTCCTCACCTCCTCTGGGGCCCCCCTCCATCATCCTGTACCACCCCAGCCCACTCACACCTCCTGGAGCTTAACCAGAGACTGGCCAATGCCCTGCAGCCCTGGCATTACCCTGGAGCATCTTGTGGGGCCAGCCGTGGACAAGGCTCTTGGGAATGCTGAACCCACCGCGTCCACACTTAGAGCTGATGGCGGGGGACCCTGGCCTGGAGGCAGCAGCAACCTGACCAGGTTTGCCAGGCTCAGGCCCAGGCTGACCCCTCACCCAGACCTAGAGCCTAGCCCACCGCATGTGTGGTTTGTTGTCTTCTCATCGGGTTCAGAGAGGGGTCATTGCTGCCATCGGCACTGTTTGATCAAAGATGACCGCCATATTTTGGTCCGGCTCCTTCACAGGACTTGCATCAGCAAAGCACTTCCTCTCCTCTCAACTCATCTCTGTGTGTGAAATGATGCCTTTGTTGTTGCTGATAACTCTCAATTCAGAATCACTCATGCAAAGGGCAGGATAAACTAGATGGAGCTGGCCTTCACCTGGTCCTCGCGGCGGGAAGGCCTGGGAACCACCAGCAGGCTCCCCGTGTGTCCCAGGGGTAGTGGGGGCCCTGACTGTGTCACGGGGATGGTAGGAGGGGTGAGGACCCAGCCCCAGGCCTCATCCTAAAGCCCAGGCCCACCCCGCCCTGCAGCAAGCCCCCCTGTCCTCCTCAGAGGACTTGCCGAAGACTCACCAGGGGCCCCTTGACTTTGAGGGGGAAGAACAGAATTGGGCCCTTTTGGAGGGGGCTTCTGAGCAGGAAGGGGTCCCTGCACGTGCTCCATCCAGGTACCCTCCTTTGGACCGAGCAGCTGAGCACACAGCAGAGTCTCAGGCTCCACCTGGAATCAGAGCACATGATGAAATATACGCAGAGCTGCAACCCCACATCTGCCCAGCGCTGTCGGCACCCCTGGCCCCTCATGCCCTTATCCTCCCAGCAGCCCCGGGGTGGGGAACTTGCTCCCAGAGAGGGAGGCAGGGAACCGCGGCCCCCGGAGGGACAGGACCTGTGGAGGGAGGGGGCTGAGTGAAGCCCATCTTTCTCACTGCTTGGTCTGGTCAGTCTCTCCACCTGCCGCCTACCCACCCACCTGCGGCCTTCTTACACCAGAGCCCCGGGCTGCCCCGCTACCCCCCCTACACCTCCCAGTCGAACCCCACACTCCGTCCCTGAGTTCTAAGTCCTCTCTCCTCCTGGAGGGGCCATCTCAGCCCTGAATGCGCCCCTGTGGCTGGCAGCATCTCACTTCCTCACTCCGCTCCCTGTGATCTGAGATGCCATCCCCCCCATCTTGTCTCCACCCGGCAGAGTTGTCACAGCTCTGGGCAGCTGGGCCCACCCCTTCCCCGCCCAGGGCATCAGTGGCTCTGTGCTCCCCGGTTGGCTGTGTTGTCATCTCCCCATCCACCTGTCTCCACTCCCGGGGGGTCTAGCAGGGGGCAGCGGATCGGGGGGGACGACGGTGCTCCTGGGCATCTGGAAGGTGGGGGACTCAGGGCTGTGTATCGGGGTCCCAGCACCACAGCTCTGCAGCTACCAGAGTGCTCCCCGAGGTGGCCCGAATAACACCCCCACGGGTATTTCTACACCCGCATCCCCAGGTCCTGTAATGTGACCTTCTTTGGGGAAAGAGTCTTGGCAGACGGGATTGAGTTAAGGATCTTGCCTTGGGGAGAGCAGGCCGGGTTATGCAGGTGGCTCTGAATCCAAGGACAGATGTCCTTCTCGGAGGGAAGCAGGGGGACATTTGACCACACACCCAGGGAGGACAGAGGCTGGAGATGGGGGCAGAGGTCAGAGCAATGAAACTGCAAGCTGGGGCTACAGGGGCCACAAGAAGCAGGAGGGAGCCTCCCCTAACCCTCCGAGGGGGCTTGGCCCTGCCCACACCTTCGTCATGGGCTCCTGGCCTCCAGAGCTGTGAGACAGTAAGTTTCTGCCATGTTTAGTGGGCTTCCCTCGTGTCTCAGCAGGTCAAGAATCCGCCTGCAATGTGGGAGACCTGGGTCCAGCCCCTGGGTTGGGAAGAGCCCCTGGAGAAGGGAAAGGCTGCCCACTTCAGTACTGTGGCCTGGAGAGTCCCACGGACTGTATGGTCTTTGGGTTCCCAAGGTGTCAGACGTGCCTGAGCGACTTTCACTTTCACTGAGTCCCCAGCTTGTGGCATTCTGTTACCACAGCCCCAGGAAACAAATTCACCATTTCACAAGACGTTTCCAAGTGCAGAGAAATACTGGGTGATTTGAACACAGGGCCTGGTGTGTGCATGGCCGCGCTGTGATGTGAGCAGAGTGGAGTGGGCTGGGTGTGCGAAGCCGGAGGCTTCCTCCTGATCTCTGTACCTGACAGCCAACACCCATTGCAGCTACGCAGAGCACAGAGCTGAGCTCCTCAAGCACATTTCTCCCTGATTTTCACAACAATCCTATAAATCAAGGGCCATTGTTGATGGCCAGATCCCATTTGACAGATAGGAAAACTGAAGCAAGAAAGGGGAAGTGGCTCATGCAGAGTTGCCTGGCTTGTCCCCAGGTACGTCAAAGAGGTGGATGGAGCAGTGGCAGCCTTTCTGGGCCCACGAGGAGAGGAATGGTGGACTGCAGAAAGGAAGAATCAGAAGGATTGGATCCCCACGACAGCATGGAATGCTTCGCCCACCCTAAGACCTTCCACCTGGCAGACTTCCTGTGTGGGAAACAAGACGTGTGCTGTGATTTAGTGTCAGGCGGGTGTGTGGTCCTGTGGCTGCTCTTGGCTTTCACTTAATGACAATAACAGGAGTCACCTGCCACAAGAGCATGATCATAAGCAGTTAACACGGCCGGCTCCCTCGCTCACTGCGGCCAACTTCACGTCAGCTCTCCAGGACGAGTGGCCGCCATGACCCACATTTTGCAGCTGAGCAAACTGAAGCGCAGAGTGACTGTCAGTCAGGGAACGTCTTTTTTGAGTGCTATGGTGTGCCAGATGCTATGGGTGATTATTCGTCAGGGCAGGCAGCCATAACAAAATACCTAGACGGAGGGGCTGAAATAACAGAAATGTACACCTCATGGTTCTGGATGCTGGAAGGCCAAGATCAAAGTGCTGGTTGCTTCCATTTCTGGTGGAAACCCACTTCCTGGCTTGCAGAGGACCACCTTCTCCCTGCGTGCTCACACAGCAGAAAGCAAGCTTGGTGTCTCTTCTTCTTATGAGGGCACTAATCCCACCATGGGGGCCCCACCCTCACGACCTCATCTAAGTCTGATTACCTGCCAATGGCCCCAACCCCAAGTATCATCACACAAGGGTTAGGGCTTCAATGTAAGTTTTGAGGGATGCAAACATTCTGTCCTGGCAGAGGTGCCGGGGCACAGAGGCAGGCAAGGGAGACAAAGGCCCTAATCTATGGAGCTGACATCCTGGAGCCTGCCTGCAGAGAGAGCTCGGTTGGGCCAAGATTCCAATTCTGACTCCAAGTTCCCGTTTCTTCTCGTGACACCATATTGTCATCCCACCTGGCTCTCAGATCACTTTTGTTCAACCCTGGGAGAGGAGCAGGGCAGGGTGATTAATTTCATTATGGAGATGATGACACCTCAGCCCCCTTCCTTAAAGCTAAAGCAAGGAGGGATTTACCCATCTACCCGCCTACTCGTCCATCCTTCTCCTGTCTACCCACACAGCCATCCATCCATCATCCACTGACTCACTGTTTATCCATCCAGCACCCACTGACTCACCATTCATCCATCCATCTATCCCCCCGTCCACCCAGCTATCCACTCACCCATCCATCCATTCACCCATTCATCTATCTACCTTCCCAACCCTCTGCTTATCCATCCATGGATTTATTCAACAAAGATTCCTTGAACCCCAAAAGCCAAGACCCTCTCCCTCCTTCACCGTGTCAGTGCCCATCCTCAAATCTCCATTTGCCACTCAGCTGAGCCTCTTGGAGGCTCAAGGAGACAGCATCAGAGCCTCCACATGACGTCATGCTGCCGGTGGCCATGGTAACCACGCTGAGAGCCGCAGAGCCACCCAGGCCCCTCCCGTCTGCGGCACCTTTGTCTCCAACCCACAGCAACTTTCCCACCTTTCAGGGGACTCGCAGGGCCCCTCTTACCCCAGGGGCCAAGTGAGCAGGGTGCCACCCCAGAGGAAGGGAGGCACGCCTTTCCTTCCTGCCCATTGCTCTGTCTGCTGGGGCCTGAAACTGATCTTCCATAAAGGAGAGGGGCTTGGCCAGCCAAACTCAAAATGGAAAACAGACCCTGGGCGGCTAGAGAGCGGCTGGCCCAGACAGTCCAGGATCAAAGGACCCTGTGCTGTCCGGCAGCCTCAGCACGGTGTCTGGTTATCAAATTTGCACTTGGCGGTGTCTCTCTGCGCCCTCCCCCCGGAGGGAGGGCCAATCTGGCCGAACCCAGTGACGCCCCTGTGCAGAGGGGCTAGAGCGATGCCCGGGCTGACCGCCTGCTTACTGGACCTGGGGGGCTCCGCTTCCGGGACTCTGTTCTATAACGGCCAGCTGTATGCCTACCAGCTTGTATTCAGCAGGTGCCGTGTGCACTGAGGTTTGGTAAGCTGGTGCTAGTTGGCATCCGCACTCCACCCACCAGAAATCTGTCAGTGCCTGAGTCCTGGGGGCTGCTACCTGGCCGAGCTGGGATGCAGACCTCCAAAGCCAGCACCCTTTAGGGATCTGGGGCTACTTCTACATGTACCTTTCTGTCCTACAGTCCGGGGTAGGTTAGAGCCAGATGCTGCAAGCCTGAGCATCCTCGTGAAGGAAGGCCCCCCATCAGGGGTGACCCTCAAGGGAGCCCAGAGCCTGACCGGAAGGTGGAAAGGGGGTGAAGAAAGAGAAGGCAGGACAGCAGGCCACACGCCCGCGGGGGGTCAGCATCGGCCTGTGCCGCGTAACAGACCGCGGCGGACGCAGGGCCCAAGGACCGTGAGCACGAGGTTGGCGTGGCTGAGCTGGGGAGCTCTGCCAGTCCTGGCCAGCCGAGGTGGGAGCAGTGGGTCACCTGGGGGCCCCGCTCCGCTCAGCATGCTCTTCGTCCTCGGAAGGCTAGACCGGAACATGCTCACGATGGAGCAGCCACAGGGAGGCAGAAACAGGGGGCCTTCGGAGGTCGAGACTCTGCGGGGACACAGCGCCACTTTTACTTCCTTCTCTTGGTGAAGGAGAAACACGGACCAACCAGAGACATGGTGGGAAAGCACAAACCGGGTCAATGGGCAAAGGCCTCGGAGAAGGCGCAGGATCGAACCCGGGCTAGGGTTGGCTTGGTCCCTGGGGCAGACATGACTGCCTGGGCCATCGGCAGACTCCGGGCCCCACCGTGCCCCACCCTGCCTTGGCCGGAGTCTCCCCGGACCCCTCTTGCTTCCATCCGGTCACTTCATCTAAACGCCCGTCACGTCTGCCGCCACGGCTGTCCTAGCTCGCTTGGTCCCTGACCCCGGCTGTGACCCCTGACCCTGCCTAGGGGCTCTGTTGGCCGCTGTGGGTTCGAGGCTCCCCCGCCCCTGGGGTGGGGCTCACAGATGCCCGGACCAGCTGAGTGATGGCTGTGGCCCAGAGCGCGGGGCGGGACCTGGAGCCTCGCCTTCCCCAGCGCGGCCTCGTCCATTATCAGCCAGGGGCGCTTGTCATCACGCTCCGGGCGCAAATCAGAATCAAATGTGGGGCCTGAGATGGCGAGAATGCTCCATTTCACATTTGCAAAAAAAAAAATCTGGGAGGGGGCAACGCTCCCTTCTGTCAACTTGAAAGGAAAGGAGAGGCAGCAAAGGAAGGGAAGAAGCTGCGATAATTCTTGAAAACTTTGTTTTTCATTTTCCCTCCTGGCTCCTTGGGCTCCAAGAGAGAACGGGCTGAATCCCACAAGAAAGACGGCTCGGTCAGGGCCTAAGCAAACCCACGTGTCTCTGCCGCTCTTTAGATGTCTTGAAATGTCTTTCAAACGTCCGGGCCCCCACACTCTCAAGCCTGTTTGAGGAAGAGCTGCTCCCCACTGGGGCTGAAGGGGGCTTGGTGTCTCGGATCCCAGGCAGCTCCGGCCACCTGCCTTTCATGTAGCCCCGCGTTTCCAGCCCCGTGCAGGAATCACAGAGGTCCACTCGGTTGATTAGCAGCCATCGGGCTCGTCATTCCTGTAACCTAGGCTAGCCCTCCTGGCGGAGGAGGAGAGGGGGCTCCACTCAGTGAGGACCCGGCCCCCACGTCCACAGCCGAGCATGTCCCGCAGGCCTCCGTCCAGGGCTTGATGCCGTCCAGCCCCTTCTAAGCCCCAGTGGGCCTGCTGCACCTCCGAGGACAGGATGCTTCCTGCTGCCAGGGGCCTCGCGCACCCCCTGTGACAGGCTCTCCAGCGTATTTACAGTCGAACCACCACAGAAGGACATTGAGGCCACTCGGTCTCCAGGGCAGCTGGAGACCTCCCCTCCTTATCATCTTATTGCCCCAGGAGGTCTGTGTCTTCCAGCTCCACGTGGGACCCCCAGTGGAGATCAGAGGGAGTAGGGAGAGCAAGGTCAGAGCCCGCCGTGCCCCGGGGCTCCCCGTGAGGTCGCCGGGAGCTGGAGCGTCTGGAACTGAAGGTCTCTCCCGCTTTCTCTCTCTCTCTCCTCCCTCCATCTCTTTCCTCTTCCCCCAGCCATGCTGTAATAACTGCCCCCGTCCCCTTGCCCTCCCAGGACTAGAGGTGGTAACGGCTCGGCTGCCTCTAAGCTGGCCCTAAGCCCTCCTCTGTGGTCCTGTGCACCCCCCCACTTTGTAAAGAAGCCCCCTCTAGCGATCGTGTGCCATCTGATCCTGGTGGTCCCGTGACGACGCTCACACAGCCCTAGATAATGCTGAGTCAGGGCATGAGCAGAGAGGCCTAGAGGGGCCCGCTCTGGGGGCCTGGCACAGCCGCTGCCCTGCTGGAGAGGGAACACACCTGTCACACAGACTCAGCAAGCCTGGTGGGGACCCGCTGCTCACCCGAGTGCACTGCGCCCGTCACCTGCTCTAATCCCCACAACGGCCAAAGTCAGGCTTTACTGTTTGTTCAGTGAGTAAAGAGATGCATGCATAGGGCAGTTTCCAAGGTTTACCAGGTTGGTGAAGGGAGGAGGCTTGACCAAGGCGAAGAGTAAAAATCGAGCAGGTGAGGGAGACGTGATGGGGAGCAGAGGCCACCCTGGAGCAGAAAAGCAGAGACTAGGCTGCTCGCTCTAGTTCTGCCCACCAGCTGTGTGACCTTAGTCAGGCGTTTGAACTTCTCTGCGCTTCACCCTCTTTACCTGCACAACAGAACAGAGGAGTCCTGTCCAGCCTCCTTTCTGGGTCAGGATACTGTGCAGGTCAGTTAAGGATATGATTTGTCGATGACGAAGCCCTGCCTGTGAAAATGATCGATGCCGTTACTCATGACCGTCGCTGGCCAATCTGGGATTCTGACCCCTTCTACTCTCCCCAGGTGCCATTATGACTCACAGAAGACACGCAGCCCCTCTTAGCCTGACACCCACGCACGGCCCCAGGCGAGGCGTCCTCCTAACCCCATGCATCCCACGCACTTAACTCACCATGGACCACAGACCTAAATGTGACAGCTGGGCTTCCCGTGGTGGCTCAGACAGTAAACAATCTGCCTGCAATGCAGGAGACCTGGGTTCGATCCCTGGGTCAGGTTTGATTCCTGGGTTTAGAAGATCCCCTGGAGAAGGGAATGGCTACTCACTCCAGTATTCTTGTCTGGAGAATCCCCATGGATAGAGCAGCCTTGTAGGCTATAGTTCATGTGGTTGCAAAGAGTCAGACACGACTGAGTGATTAAGCCCGGATACAAAACTACAAAATTTATCAATAAACTTGGAGTAGGCAAATTCTTAACAGGACATGAAAATACTAATTATATGTACACATATATGGGGCTTCCCTGGTGGCTCAGCTGGTAAAGAATCCGCCTGCAATGCAGGAGACCTGGATTTGATCTCTGGGTTGGGAAGATCCCCTGGAGAAGGGAAAGGCTACCCACTCCAGTATTCTGGTCTGGAGAACATGACTGAGTGACTTGCACTTTCTTTCATATACATATATACATATGGTAAAGAATTTATATCCAGAATATCTATTTTTAAAAAATTTGATAAAACAATAAGATAACCAAACATAAAAGTACACAAGAGACGTGAACACGATGTAACTAAAGAATATCTATTCCAGGGCCCCCTGGGCCACCCAGCCAGCTGCACTGGGATCCATCCACCAGGGGGCCAGTAGCCTCTGCGCAGGGCGGGGCCTGGCAGCCAGCCGGGCTGCGGGCTGGCATCGCCGGCCAGTGCACCTGCAGTCGCCAGCCCCACCGCAACAGGAGAGTCATGTCGTCCACGTGGGGGTACCCCCGGCGCACAGAGCATTCATCTCTGGGGAACCAGACGGGACTGAGCTGCTGGGCCTCATGGGATGCAGCCTGCGCAAGGCCACTTCTCCAAGATCAGAAAATGTAACCAGCCGAACAAGTCATAAAAATAGAAACAGAGAATGAGGCAAGATGAGGCCACATGGGAAAATGTTCCAGACAAAGGAACAAGATAAAAATCCCAGAAGAAGAGCTCAGCAAAGTGGAGATAATCAATCTGCCCAATACGGAGGTTGAAGTAGTGATCGTAAAGATGTTCAGCAAAGTCAGGAGAAGAATGAATGAACATGGTGGGAAATCCAACAAAGAGTGAGAAACATAAAGAAGAACCGAACAGAGTTAAAGGACAAAACAGCTGAAATTAAAAAATACACTAGAAGGAGTCAGTAGTAGATGAGATGATACGGAGGAACGGCTCAGCAGGCTGGAAGGCAGAGCACTGAGTCACCCAACCTGAACACACGAAAGACAAAAGAATTTTTGAAAATGAAGACAGTTTAAGAGATCTCTGGTGCAACGTCAAGTGTACGAACCCAGGAATCCTGGAAGGAAGAGGTAGAGTGAATGGGCCAGAGAAGTTATTAGAAGAAATAAGAGCTGAAACTAACATGGGGAAGGAAATGTACCCAAACCGAGGAAGCTGTTGTGCAGTAAGTCATGTCTGACTCTCTGCGACCCCATGGACTCAGCACACCAGGCTTCCCTGTCCTTCACCAGCTCCCGGAACTTGCTCAAACTCATGTCCACTGAGTCAGTGATGCCATCCAACAATCTCGTCCTTTGTCGTCTCCTTCTCTTCCCACCTTCAACCTTTCCCAGCATCAGTGTCTTTTCCAATGAGTCAGTTCTTCCCATCAGGTGGCCAAAGTATTGGAGATTCAGCTCCAGCATCAGTCCTTCCAGTGAATATTCAGGATTGATTTCTTTTAGGAAGGATTCATTTGATCTCCTTGCAGTCCAAGGGACTCTCAAGAGCCTTTTCCAACACCACAACTCAAAAACATCAATTCTTTACTGTTCAGCCTTCTTTATGGTCCCCAACCATACATAACTACTGGAAAAATGATAGCTTTGACCACAGAGTCCCAAACAAGATCAATCCGAATAGGTCCACACAAAGACTCATTGTCATTAAATATCAAAAATCAAAGATAAAAAGGGGATCTTAAAAGCATCCAGGGAAAAGTAACTAGTTATGCACAAGGGAACGTCCATAAGGCTGTCTGCTGACCTTTCAACAGAAACTTTGCAGGCCAGAATGGAGTGAAAAAACCTACAATCGAGAATATCCTACCTGCAAGGTTAATTCAGATGTGAAGGAGAATTAAAGAGTTTTATAAACAAGCAAAAGCTAAGAGTTCAGCACCCGCAAACTGGCTTTATAAGAAAGATTAAAAAGATGTCTCTAAGTGGAAAAGCCCGTACAAAAGATACGAAAATTGGAAAAGGAAAAGGGTCTTCCCAAGTGGCTCAGTGATAAAGAATTTTCCTGCCAAGCAGGAGGCCTGAGTTTTATCCAGAGTCTGGGAGATCCCCTGGAGAAGGAAATGACCACCCATCCCAGTATTCTTGCCTGGAAAATCCCATGGATGGAGAAGCCTGGCGGGCTACAATCCATGGGCTCACGAAGAGTCAGACACAATGCAGTGACTCAACAGCAGCAGCAGCAGAGGAGAAAGAAATCCCCCTGATAAAGGCAGCAAATCAACCCCTCACAAAGCCAGTAGGAAGGTTAAAAGACAGAAGTATTAAAGTCATCTATATTCACAATAAATAGCAGGCTATTTATTGAATCACAAAACACTGGAAAATTCTTAAAGAGATGGGAATACCAGACCACCTGGCATGCCTCCTGAGAAACCTGTATCAGGTCAGGAAGCAACAGTTAGAACCGGACATGGAACAACAGACTGGTTCCAAATAGGGAAAGGAGCACGTCAAGGCTGTATATTGTCACCCTGCTTATTTAACTTATATGCAGAGTACATCATGAGAAATGCTGGGCTGGAAGAAGCACAAGCTGGAATCAAGATTGCTGGGAGAAACATC